CAGGAATAATGTCTTTCTCTGCAGCATGGTTGTTTGGCATCTGGGTCACTGGATTTGCAGTAGCTCCCACCACCAGGAATTCAGAGATGTGGTGTGAAACCTCAACCTCTATAATTTCACTCTTGTCTGATTTTAATCACATCATTACCTGTCAATGAGCCAGTCTGAGCATATTCAGGTCATTTCAGCCCAGATTTCTGCCTGGGCTGTGACATTTTTATTTTCTTATCTGCACCATTCCTAGTTCCTTTTTATTCAACTATGTAAGATCCAGTTTTCCCACTATTGTTTGCATATTCTCATGGCTTGGAGATTTATCAGATTTATTTGCTTGAAATTAACCAAATGAGTCAATGAATAATTGTGCTTGTAATTGCAGTTGCCCTGATAAAATTCATGAAGAAACTGGGGAAATAGATGGCATACAGAAGGTGCAACACAAGTTATTTCAAGCTTACATATGGTGCTGTGCAGTTAATGTCCTGGGCAGAGAATGCACCAGCCTCTTTACAATAGGTAACTTCCCTCTAAGGTTTACTTGGCTGTAATCACTGGAACAAATCTAACAGTGAATATGTTTGCTCTGTCACATGTTTAAAACCTAATTCCAATAGCTCTTTGTGGTCTCTATAAAAACCGTCTTGCCTTTCTGCATTTGCTATACATGTATTGACTTTTTATTCATGCTTTTAGGACAGTGTTGCATGGAAATTCTCTTCAAATGTTCTCAAATGTATACAATTATGAATAATTATTAATTAATATATACATCCAGGTTTGTTTGCCTGTTTTTTTAAATAAACCTGACCTGAGCTAGGCTCTGTGCTGAGCTGTGCCCTATGGATACCTTGTAAACTATGACAAAATTTGGTTTGAGAATCTAAATCCATCATAGTTACTAATTTAATTATTGTTGTAATTATCATTACAATGTAAAAATTAATGTCTATACAGCATTAGCAGAAAAAATGTTTATCTAACTCAGCATTTTTCTAGGCAAAGTGACAGTCATTTCAGTGGCTATGTTTTGATTTTGTAGATTTAAATGAAAGACAAGCAGCACCTTTACCTGAACTACTACTTAAGGCTGGGGAACCATTGCTGATCAGATGCAGAGCTGTTCACCATAATTATAAATTCAGAATAAAGTTATCTTTTGAGAACAGAGAAGTTGATCAGGTAAGAAGATGAAACATATTTGAAAATGGGTAGTAGTCTGCACTGTCAACTGCTAGTTGGTATGAGGCTGGTGAAGGGCATTATGGTCTAATAACCGCGGTCGGGTTGGACTCAGTGATCTTTGAGGTCTCTTCCAACCCTGTTGATTCTATGATTCTATGATTACATGTGACTATCTCTTGAAAACTAGGATCACCAGTTTGGAGGATTAGAATATGAACCAGATCACTCAGCAATTCGGACCCAGTATGTGTTTGCCACAGCAGCACGAAGAAGTGATAGTGGACGTTATACCTGTTCGTCTACCGCTCATCCAAATCAAACTGTTTTGGTTACAGTTTTAGGTAATTCCAATCCCTGGTATTAATTTTGTCCCTCAGTTTGTTGTTTAGCTTCGTTTTCCATGTGGCAGTTCTTTGCTTGCAGGTATGCAGCATACGTTTATAGTTCTTGCTAAGGAAAAAAGTCTGTTTGCATTTACTGGCAGTCTGGGAGAGCCAAGAGATTAATCCGAACTGAGTCATTCTGGTGCCTGAATACAATCAGCCTTTTCTTTATATTGCTTTTCAAATAACTCCCATTAAAAGACAGTGCTTTTAAAAGTGAAATGAATGTTTGAGATCTAGTCTATATGATTGCTTCAGTGGGATCACTAGAAACACAGAGTGGGATTCATCTCATGTTACTGTAGGTGACAGTCAGCCAGTGTGCCACAAAGCCAAAATTGTTTTTTTGTGGGGACACAAAGCTATAGGGTCCTCACGGGACTGTGTCTTGGGCTTTCTGGACAGAGGGGAGTAGTATAGCTGTGCAGCCCTTCTCTGTGTCACCAAGGGCAACTGCTGAGCAGACACAAACAGCTAGACGTGAAGCACTGCTGGAGCTGGCCAAGAACATAAAAAGCATGAGATCTGCTCTGTGTGCTCAGCTGTTAATGGTCTGTGTGTTAGTTTGGCCAGTCTGGCATGACCAGTGACTGGTTTCAACCAGTGTGAGATAGAAATGTCCTGCTGTGCCTCCAGCATGGGTTTTTAAAATCTGTTGCCATGGACTCTGTCTCCTCCTCACCACTGCATCTCCTGTACTCACATATGCCACTTCCATCCCACCTTTGCTGAACTTTGGGTGTGGGGAGGTAAGGTGACCTCTGCTCTGATGTTTTGTATGGTCCCTTCTGTATAAGAGCAATGAGATCTGTGTAAGAGCTCTGTATAAGACCTCATCGCTCTTATACAGAAAAATGTAGATACAAAATCTGTACCAGGCCTGACCTGGGTCTGTCAGGAAGGAATTGAACAGTTGGAAGGTTCTGATGGTGGGCTTTCCCACTCAAACCCAGAACAAATGAGAAATTACCAGTTCCCCTTATGACAAGGGAGTGACTGATAAGTGATCACTGGAGTTTGTCCATTTTTTTATGGGAAAGTAAATCTGGGGAAGAATTTTATCTCCAAAACATGTAGAACTGGTAGCAGAAAAGAACAACTTTCATGTTAATGGAGAATTTAAGTCCAGAGAGATGAAGAGAAGAGTGCTGGCAGAGAACTGCCATGTAGAAGTGCTGCTGCAGCTGTGATGGATCTGAAGGAAAACCTGAAGTTAGACAGACAACTACTCTGGTGTTATTAGTTGTTCTGTGTGTCTCCTGTTTTCCAGACACTAAAGGAATCATTCCTAATGCCAAGCTACATAAGGCCTGAAAATTTTAAAAAGTAAACCTCATTATACTTAAGCAATATGTTGATTTAAAAGCCAGAGATGTTGAGGTTAGTTGAGAATAACCTCAACTGCAAACCTTGTTTCTCAGATGGAAATAATAAGCAAATAGGCACAAGTCTGAAAATAAGGCATGAAAAGGAAAGCTGTAAGTAGCACCATGCTGCTGGAGTAGGCATTGGGAGTATTTTAATGACTGGTGTGCCTGAAGTTGGAGCCTGTAGAGCTCTGACTAGACTCTCTGAAGTACTCACCATGTGTTTGACCTTATAGTTGCTCTCAGAGTTTACAATACCTAGGCTAGGAATAGGAGGAAGTAAGAATACTTACCCCAGTCTCTTCAGAAATTACTTTCCCAGTGCAATATCCTCTTTTCAGCTTCTGCCTACCACTGAGAAGAAAGTTGTCATGTCATTTACAGTAACTGAGCATGATACCTGGACATTTTTTTATCACACATCTTAGCAAACAGGAGCATAGGGGTGAGGGGGTACTGTAGAGGTAGGACAAGATCCTCTTCTTTATCAGGTTCTAGCATAGCTTCATAGATGGGTGGTCTTCTAATCTCTAATAATGCCTTGCAGCCAGACAGCTCTGATTTGCTCTTTGATAATTGATACTTCACCAACTTATCCCATTTTGTGTTGCTGGTCAGGTCAGGCAGGGTGGTTACCCCACTTTAAAGCACAACTGAGATCACACCAGCTGCAGCTGCAAGGCTCTTTGTTTCTGCAGGTCTTACACTCAGTTTCCACCAGCGTTATTCAAAATTCAGAATTTTTAGCACTCTGCAATCTTCCTTCAAGAATATGCCAGCTATTTTGCAGCATGTTATGTTTGAAGTAACAAATAAACAAATATGTTAAATGCAGAGTCTTGTCCAGTCTCAAGAGTTTCATTTCACCTCTGTCATTACTAAATGTAAAAAGTCAGAAATTCACTTAAACCTGCCAAAAATTATAAACCAAGCAATAATGTGCTATTTTCTTTCTCCTTCAAATAAGAAACTATTTTTTTCTCTGAGTTGTTTTCCAGAGAAATGGCATACACTCTTCCAAGGTCCTTGTATGCACTCTGAAGAAAGCCTTTACTCTTGGCTGGCTGTCTTGTTAACAGTACACTCAGAGATTATATTCTGCCTAGAAGGATGAGGACCAAAAGATCACTGAAAAGATGAAGGACCAATTTATAAAACCAATAAATGTTTAATATAAAAAAAATAGAGCAGTCACAAAAGGAATGGCTTCATGTTTTAATACACTGACATTTTTTGTGGTTTATATGGGAGTTTCCAGATAGTATTTTTCAAACCAGTAAGTTAAGACAGAGATAAATCTTACCAAACAGAATATAGGGTTACAATCAGAAAAAAAATGCTCAGAAGGAAAAGCCCAGTCTGGCAATATTTTATGGTGCAATTTTTCACCTTGTGACTGATTAAACACTGCCACAAGTTTCCCAGAGGTTACAGAGTCTACTTCCTTGGAGATCCCCAAGCTCAACTGAACACGGCTCTGAGCAACCTATTCTAGTTGGATCTGCTCTGAGCAGGAGCTGGACTAGACATCTCTTCAAATGTGTATAGTTCTGTGTTTTTTACAGAGCTGACCCTAGACTCACTGATGTCTTTAGGACAGCCTCCTCCTGCATGTCTGCTGTTCAGTCTCTTTGGGTAGGATTCATTTCAAGTCATGAGACATCTAGCCCCAGCAATGATTTTGACTCCTTCAACATTCAGTGTTAGGAAACAGATATTTCCAGAAAAAATGTTCAGTACATCTTTGTTATCTTCTACTTTAGGATGGGATACATCTGGATATGACTGTTTTGTTTCACTGAGTTTATCAAAGGTCCAAATAAGTAGCTTAGGTGGATCACAGAACTTCAGACATCTCCATTAGGTGAAACTAATATGACCCAAGCAGGGCAAGTACCAGCAGCTCATGGTTCACATATATCTTCAAAACACTTTTCCATGTTGCTGTGATCTTGCATGAAATACATCTAATTTAGATGGAGAAATACAGGAGCAGCTAAAAGACTCACTTGCAAAATCTTCAGCTTATTTCAGGGAAGGAGAGAGAACTACTATCAACATCTGATTATGCTGGTGGTACCATCTGGTTTTGTTCCCTGTTGGAGGAAAGCCAGGAGATGCAGCTGTTAACACCTGGAATACAGACCTAAACCAAACCAAATAAATAATGACATTGTTGGGTCTGTGGCTCTGTAAGGCAGATAGAGGAGAAATGTCAGACTATTTTGGAAGGGCTCTGGTCTGACCAAATACACAGCTTCATTGGGCTCAAATCATTTGTCTGCAACTGACCACAGTCACAACATTTCAATACTATTTTGAAGCATTCTTATTTTGATTAACAGGATGCCTTTTGTGATGTAAGATGGTGCTTTTTTTTTGCGTGTGATAACCAAAATTAAAAACCATACAGATTTCAAAATTTCTACATTAAGTAGTCCAGCCTTTCTAATATATCTTTTTTTTCCCCTCCAGAAAAGGGATTTATAAATATAACTGACTCTAAAGAAGATTTTGAAATTGGTGAGGAAGAGTTTTGCTTTGAAGTTAACTTTACAGCATATCCACCAGTTAGATGCATGTGGCTGTTTTCCAAAAGAACATTTCCATGTAAACAAAGTTACAGTGTGGATGGACACAGGTACTTGAATATTTTATAATAATTTAATATAATAATGGTTCCCCTTTATATCTCATCTGGACTGTTTACTGTCCATGTTTTGTACTCTTGTTGTGTTTTTTAAACATGAATAGGCTACATGATGAAACTGTCAAAAAAAAGGCACTCAGACATGTAATTTTGGGTTTCAACAACAGTTTGCATGGATAACCTGTAGAATCACTTTAGTCTCTGTTTATAATAAACCCTTTGGTAAGTTATACATCTAGCAACCCTTTAGTTTGTATGCATTTTGCCATTGCCATTCTCTCTATCATAATTTCTCTGTTTCGGATCTGTTGCTGTTTTCATACTGGATCATGGGTTCTGCATGTTTCCCTTTTGTCATCCTGTTCTTGATGATGTTCCCAGTGTCTTTTAAACAGCTCAGATCAAGTCCAGGGCCTTGTAGTTTCCCAGGCTGCTGTTAGATATGTTCGTCTGTGCCTGTGCCACAGAAACATACCGTTCTGCTCATTACCCAGGTCATGTATTCTTCTGCTACTGCAGCAAAACATGTTTTGAATAAACCTGTTAGTTATCTACCTTTTCTGTTATTTCCTACAATGAGCTTCTGGCATGAGTCCCGTTTAAGGCTTATGTTTTCTCCATTCCCTAGGCTTTCTAATTTCTTGATAACATTATCTAATTTCCTTCAGAGTTTCTTTCAGAGTAGTCCCATGGCTTTGAAGGTAACAGCTCTTACTCACCTCAATGAAAGTAAAGCCAAGTTGCTTTACTTAAAGCTTTAACTTTAAAACTGAGCAAGGCCCAGACAGGAGCTAAAGCAGTTGCACTGATTTATTCTCATATTCTTAAAACCTCTCATATCATCTGCATAAAGCTGTGTCATAGCCTTGATTACACTTTTCATTATTTCTTTCCATAGTATTTTGGTATGTTCAATTTTATCCACTAGTTTGTCCTGTCATCTTTGTAACGGACTGACCTTTTCATCTGCATCAGATGGCATATTGGAGTCAGACCTCAGTGAGGTTCAGAGACAGCTCATTTCAGATTAGCAAATTGTCATCTGCTGGCAATGGCCACAGGAACTCTGTCCCTGCTGATAAAGTGAGGGCTGTCAGCAAACTTTGATAGCATTGGGTGGGTGTTAGTGAGTAATCTGCAGTGCTTGACATGGGCTCAGCAGATCTGTGCTTTGTGTCAAGTCTGATTTTAGAAATGAAGTCTCAGGGGACAGCCATGAGCATTTGCTCATCCTTGTCCAATAGGTACCTCCCTCCAGCAGATAACACTAAACTGATTTGCATTGCAGCTGATATGAACCTCTCCTCACCTTTTGTACATGCGGGAGTCAGTTTTGCTTGGATGATTGACAGCTGGTGTAAATTCAGTCCAGATAAGAAGAAGATGCTAGGACAGTGCCAACAATAGTAATATTGAGAACTCTTGAAATAGTTTAGGCAGCCCTCATTAATCAGTAAGGTGTAACTGCTGGTGGCCTGGGATTTGTGAGTCACTTCAGATAGCCTTTGCAGCACAGCAGCAGCAGTTGCTGAGGGCTGATCACCACCTGCCGGATGAGGGAAAGTCCAGCCTGTGTCCCTGGAGCTATGCATCCTAGGCTGGCTCAACCATAGCCGTGGCCACAGCCACCAAACATTGCTGGGACGTGGCCTGGCAGTTGCTTCAAACAGGTAACTTGGCCATCCATCTGACTGTGCTATTGGATGCTTTTTTATTTTTTGTATTTTAGGTAGTTATACTTTGTGTTTATTTACCATCCTATCTATTTCATGGAAAGATATAATTGAGGGGAAAATACTTGAATTTGGTGATTATTTTGTCTGACAAGTATGTTCTTCTGTACAAACATCCTCCGCAACTATCCCGTTATGGTTGAATACTGACATTGGATAAACACATCTCATCCAAGGAAAGAGAGTAGGGGTAGGTATTTCATTCGGTTTGAAGTTCCCAGAAGAAGCAAGGGGTAGGGAAGTCAGGAGATTCTGCCTGCAAGCTGTAGCACTGCAGATTTCAATGTGATTTTAAAGCAGAAAGTTTCTCAAAACAAAAAAAGGTCATCACATATTTAAACATATTGTGAGTCTCACTTTGTGTATGTTAGTTGATTTCTGTGTAATCCTGTCTCCCAACACTTCTACTTTGTTCCTTTCATATCCTTTTTCATTTCCTGTTTTTCTTTTTTATTTCTTCCATTTTCTTATCAAATTGTTCCTCCTGTTTGTAGATCATATTGAATTCAATTAATTAACTCTGTCTCTTTCTTTAGCTTTTAATTTCAAACCCCAGAGATTCATCTCTCCTGTCTCTACCCTTATGTGTTTTCAGATATTCCTTCAGAATTTCCATTTTGTATTTGCTTTTGTTGTCTCTCTGTTTCAGCACACTGTTGATTTTCACTTCCCTCCTAAGAGCAAAAGGTTTTCATACACAGAACGACCTCTGCTAAATTTATATTTAGCTTACATCCCCTTATATTTTCAGGTATCAAAGATACTCTTTTAAAATTATTTTCTTACTATTTCATTAGGATTTAATACTTCAGACCTAGGATTTCAAAAGCAACGGATTATTTTTGATATGTTTTTGTTGTTGTTTTTTTCCTGTCTTTAGTGTCCATTTTGAGGCAGCTTAAAAGGGCTCTTATTTTAAAACTTCCCTGAGTTTGGGGACGTCTTTCAGGCCATTTCAGATGAAGACATTCAAAAGTCATTAATTACATGGGGGTGTTGCCTTAGTCAGAAGGCAATCTTGCCAATGGCTTCTATGTGAATTTTCCTAGTTTAGAATTTCAAGTTGATACTTGGTATGTATCTTGATTAATGAGAAATGCCCTGATTTAGTTCCCTAGATTGCTGTATGGGCTGTCTTTTTTTTGTTCCCCTCTTTTCTTCAAACTCCCTGATGTGCCTGCTTGACTTTACCACTAAGACAGGGTTGGGGACCTCCTATCTGGTCACCCTCGAGCCGTCAGCCAAAGCATCTATCCCCAAAATGTCACCAACTAAATCTAAGAGAGTTTTCTCAGATTGCTCTTCTAATGTTGATGAACTGCATTATCTGCCATTCAAATCTGATAATTGTCTTGACAACAATAGCATAGTCAAAAGCACAGAAATAGGATACCATCTCTGTAAAATGGTATATTCCCTTCTCCTTTCCTCAGCACATGTCCCATAAACCAGTGGCTCAACAGGACACCCATGCATGGATCTCTGCAGTTCTCAGTTCTCAGCTTCTGCTCAGTAGAACACTCCTTCACCATTTTCATTGCCGCAAGCTGTCTCCTGCATGGTTTGGGTCTTGGTTTGCTGCCATTCACTGGGCCAAAGGCCATAGGGATTAGTAAAAGGCTGGTCTTCCTCATGCAGAAATATTTTGATGGTTGGTGCTTTGTCTCATTGACAATGGACTTCTGATGATGACCTCATTACTGAGTTTCCGTCAGATCTTTCCATTTGAAAACATTTATCTTGTATGATCCTCTCTGTCACTATTGTTTCCTTGTGCTGTTTATCATATCAGCTAGAAACCTCCATCAAAGTTCTTTGGGGGAGTGAAGAGTTTGATCCTTTGCTGGTCTTAGCATCTGTGCCAGGATGTGTTACAAGCCTTGTCTTCCAATGGATTGGTAACAAAATCACAGGTTGACAGCCTACATGCACCCCAGGAACTGTGAGGAAAAATGCAGAATGAAATCAATACTGAAGGAAAAAAATATCCTCTCACTCAGTTAGGTTCTGGGGTTTATATTTTCTAAGTGAAAATAATTTCCTCCGGGATCCTCATTAGAAGACGTTGAATTGTTTCAAACATGTATATGAGTCTTGAGTACATTTTAAATCTTTTTCAAGTTGGTCTTTTGTCCTTTTCCTTTTTTTTTTTCTTTGCTCCACAGTATTTCATCAAAGTTCTGCAACCATCAGTATCAGTCTGGGATATACATATTTTATGCTGAAAATGATGATATGGTTGTGACAAAAAAATTCACTCTGTACGTGAGAAGTAAGTGAGAAAAAGATCCCCCTGAAGATTTGGTGAAGTCTGGTATTTTGTCACTCATATAAATGGAGCTATCATGTTGTTTATCCCTTGTTATTCCCGATTGTTAAAAATGGACAATCACAAGGCAAAAACGTGATTCCTTTCACATTGCACCACACTACTGAAATCCAGGCACTGGGTCAGAGAAAGGTACTGGATGCTTGTGGGTTGTATTTCTCGTGTTGGTCAGGGATAGAGAACAGAGAAGGAGGAGAAAGTTATTAAGTTTTTTCTTCCCTTTCATCTACCATCAAAGGAATATGAGAAATTAGTGATATACATTTTCTCAGAAAATTACTACTTCTTAAGAAAACCACAAAGCCTAGGAACTCAGTAAAATACAGTGACTGTGTTCTAACTCTACAGAGATGGGACATATGTGACTGCTGTAGAAACCACATGAGATATACAGTGTGAGGAAACCCTTATCGCCATTAAGAGTTAGCTTTCTATGGCTTATTGATGTAATTTTTTTCCTAATGGCATTTGCAAGTTAGCGTCGTTAGTGTGGAGACCCTTTGGTGTGTAACACATATGTTTGGGCTGCAGTGCCTCGTATGCCCCTGCCCACAATTCACATATATGCACAGTCTTGACCAATGCTCACAGTTATCTCAGTTCTGCCACATGACTGCAGCATCCTACCCTTGCTCCGGGTCAGGGACCATTATTTGTTATATATTATCTATACAGGGGTCTCCTGCACACAGTATGTATGAACTGGAGACCCAGAACTGGAGTGTCAGGGCATTCCTAGGGCCAACTGCTTGCTCCAAGTCAGAAAAGCAGAAGTCAAGATTTCTAATTTTGACTCTGCTATTGTTTTGGTCTGGCTGTGCCCATACAGAGAAGTGCCTGCTCCCCTTGCCTTGCCCACACTGCCATCCACAGAACTGAGGAAGGAGGAGGACCGCAGGCTGTACCCATCTCTCACAGTGACATGGGGTGGGTTGTTTTGAAAACACAGAAGCAGACCTTGGTTTCAGCAGATGTAGCATTACCGCAGAAGTATACAGGGTTTTGTTGCTTGAAGTGCTGACAGAAATTTTCGAACAGAACCATAGAATTGATTAGGTAGGAAAAGACCTTTAAGATCATAGAGTCCAACCATTAACCCATCACTGCCAAGTCCACCATTAAACCATGTCCTTAAGTCTTGTGTTATCTTGTTGCAGGAAAGCCTGAAGTAACGATGCAGTTGTTGTTCAAGCAGATCTCCTGTGTCGCTGAAAGTTACCCTGCCTCATCCTGGGTTTGGAGGAACTGTCTTGAACTGAACTCATCCAAGTAAATAATTTTATCTCTTCTTTTATTCATTGAAAAGACTATCTGAGCTATCCTTGGTTAAATGAAGACTGAGCTGTAACAAAGTAAGTGTAAGATGCACCCCTGACTTTTGGTAGCCCACTCTAGGGAAACCAGATCACAAAAATTAGGGAAAGTTTTCCATTTTTTTATTGCCATCAAATGAAGTATACAAAGATTTGTATCTCAGGCTCTTTACACCAAAATAAACCCCACTGGGTTTATATCAACAGTTAGATAGTTACAAAGTCCAATCTAAGTTTTCCTCTTGGCCTGTCAAAGTCATGGGGTTCAGGCATTGGTTCATATATGCTTGGTTAATTGGCTAAGCTTTGGTTAAAACAGCTGTTACAGTAACCTGTTACCAAAGCCAGTAAATGCAGTGAGAGTTTTTCCAGTAAAATTAGTGAGAATATTTCCAGTAAAGTTAGTGGGAGTGTTTCCATTTCCTCTATTTATTTAGGGCAATGAGTCAGACCCTAAAATTTCAAGAGATGCTGGAACAGCTTTGAGCCGTTTTATGAACTCTGCAGTTTTTATTTTAGATATGCCAAAACCTAATAATCCCATGGTGCAAGAGTACTAGATCAAATTATCCTTTGTAAGATTGTGGGTAAAGCTCTAAGTATTTTAGCTAGACAGAAAAAAATATATCTAGACAATTTTCTTATCCATACCTCTGAAGAGGCTTCCTAACATCAATCTGTGCAGAAATGGAAGAGAAAAGAAAACATCTAGCTAGTCAGTTTAAAATACTCCTTAAATCATCTTTCTGGATAGAAAATGCTATGACACTTATTTTCTTGGGAACTTCCACACATAGAAGCTAGTGCCATGTGTAGAGCTGAATAAATTTTATTTATTTACTTATCTCCTCATTGATTTATGTGAACAGTAAATTAGGCAGTAAGTTGATGAATGATAGAAAAGCTAAAAGTAAAAATTATCTCTGTGTGGGCTTCCTTTCCCTTGAGTATAATGTTCCCTCTTTCTACCTATCAGGTCTTAAATAAGTCATTAATTCAGGGTGGATGCTCTCCATCTTGAGTGAGAGAAACTTCATGGTTGAAATTACATACCTTGAGGGAAAGGAGTTAGAACTTTTACTGTGGGTTCATTTTGCATTTATAGTTTTAGCAGCAGCTCATTAGGAGTTGCTCAGTGATTTGAGTGTTTGAGGCAAATATGAAACCAGTGGGAATAGATGCAGCACAGGGAGGTTGGGTCAGCTGTGAAATTGGTCCAGAGGTCAGGGGGTACAAGTACCCTGCCATGGCAGTGGTGGAGGGTGGGAGTGAGCCCAGTGTAGGAGGTGGGAAGCCCAGTTCACTCCCTGCTGACCCTGTCATGTCCATCACTAAAAATGAGGCTACTCTGAAGCCTCACTCTAACACTGTAACACAAATATAAACCAAGCCCTCTCCCCTCTTCTCATCCAACACAGACACTATATATGTTTTGAAACGTCCCACCTTCTCCCATGGAAAATGCCACCATGAGCCAAAAATCAAAACTGGTCTGTTTCCTTTTTTCAGCTGTACAGAAGAAATCACAGAGGGGATTCACAACTTCTTGCCAGAGAGGAGATCCCTGGGGTCATGGATTTCAAGCAGTACTTTAGATGTAAAGGAGACAGCAACAACCTTCTCAGTGGAGTGCTGTGCAAACAATTCTGCTGGTTCAGCCTGTGAAAAGAGTTTCATTAACCTATCAGGTACCATAAGCCAGTGTTTTAGCACAGCATTTCTCAATTAAAGCTGGTATGGTACAACATAAGTTATTTTACATCTGGCTAAATGGGTGACCATGCAATGTCATTGTAGGTAAAACACAAGGTCTCTGTGTATACAGTATTGGAAATGGTGGGTGAAGGGGAGACACAATTTTCTCTAGTCCCAAAACAGGGTCCTCCCTCATTAAAATAAGCAGAAACTTCACACATATAGGAAATACATGATGGAGCCATGGCAATGTTGGGGGATGATCTTAGTAATCCCCACAAGAAATCTGGAAGCATCAGCTCTGGGAAGAGCTAAAGTCACTTTAGTAACTGGTGGCAGATGCTAGCTCTTGTTCCTTTCCTGGAGGTCACTGTAGTGCTGCCAGAAATGCCCATGGGAGCTCTCCTCTTCCCATGGAGGTCATTGAACACCTAAGCAAGATTGTAACTGAGCCAGCAGACCCACTTAAGGGTCAGTCCCTGTCTGGGAAGCAGGAATACTGGAGAAGAGACCTTCTTTAACTGCTGTAGGCAGGTGGCAGAAGGTTAAGCCCTGGCTTGGAAACTGCTGTCCAGTGTCTCCTGTCAAGGTCATGAGATGTTATTTCCTTGTTGAACCAGAATGTCAACATGATCATTTTCACTTTATACTTGTAACACGATGTGTATTCCATAGAGAAAAATATTTCAGTTACAGGAAATGTGCTGTGCTTTTAGGCAGTGTTTTGAAACAGTTATTTGTAGTGCAGGGATTTCCTTTGTCATGGATGAACAAGCTATTTGGTACTTTTGACTACAGCTGGCAGAAGCTGTGACCACTGTCTGAGTCTTGTTGCCAGTGCTGAAATTACAGTAGAAAGTAATCTTAATACTTATGGTCTTAGAAATGACCAGAATATGAGGGTATGTCTCATGTGATACTCACCTACCCACCAGCACCTTATAGTAATATCTTGGCTTGTTTAAGAGAGTTCCCGGCTGAGCAGCAGAGCAATGCTCTGAGCAGGTTGTGTACAGTCCACCTGTTGATAACTGGTACTGCAGTACATGATGTACATTGATGGGGGAAGGCACGGGGAAAGAGGAGAAAAATGTGATGAGAAGACGAATTGATTATTCCTGTTCATGCTCACAAAGTCCAATCCATGGATCACACCACCACCTCTGCACACTTAGATTTATTAATGGGTGTGGCTTTTCTTTTGAATGAAAACAGCTGTCAGAATTATCCAGCGCTGCCCATGTTGCTTTGCATATGGCTTCATCTCATTCCCTGTGCAAAGGAGGCTCAGGTGTGAGATGGCTGCAAACTGCCAGAACTGATCAAGCCGCCATGGCTTCTCCTTGCATTTTCAGCTGTACACACAAACTCTGATTCAGTGAGGAGTAATATGTGTCTCTTAAAGTTGCAGGAGCTGTTTCTTCTCCCCTGGACAATGCTGCATTCTATGTCTTTGTTGGATTTTTTCTCCTATTGATCGCTTTTGTGTTTGTAGTCATTTCTCTTAAATACAAAAAGGTAAAAGCAAACATAAATACTTATCCCTTCTTTTGTTTCTACCTGGCTGTTTTTCTCTAAGACTTATTCCACTGTTAATTTTTTTCTTCCAAAGCATTTTAGATATGAAAGCCAGTTGCAAATGATACAGATGATAGGGCCATCGGATAACGAGTACATCTACATCGACTTCAGAGAATTCGAATATGATCTAAAATGGGAATTTCCCAGGGAAAATCTGGAATTTGGTGAGCAGTCCATAAGGAAAACCCCAATACTGGAATAGTAGCCTGTGCTCTACCAACAGGAAATAATATTGGCATTTTGTGTCTTGTAGGACAGGTCCTTGGTTCTGGGGCTTTTGGGAAAGTGGTGAATGCAACAGCTTATGGAATTAGCAATGCAGGAGATTCAGTCCAGGTCGCAGTCAAAATGCTAAAAGGTATGATAAACTCTGGTGCCATTCGCAAATAGTGATGTGTTCTAGTGGCTCCAAAGCAGAAGCTGTGTTGGAAATCCCCTTATATACAAACTTTTGACAGTTACACCTCACAAATGCTTGGCTTCAAAATCCTTTAAAACTACTTTCAAAATCATGTTTCAGTTTGGAAAGGTGTTGTTGAAGTGCCTTAATCCTGCAGCACGTTGCATTTTGTCCTAGACATCAGAGAAGGTCTGCATTGTGTTGGAAAGTATGCAGCTGCTCTACTCTAAAGAGGAGGAATGCAAATTCCTAGTGCAGATGAGCCTGCTGGTCACATTGGTGACTCTGAATTTTGGTGTAAAGTCCCTTTTTCTTGTAGCGCCGTCTAGCTGTGGCACACTCTTCACCTGCTGTGTGTGACCTAGCTTGTTTCCAAAACTTCCAGCACAGTTTTCTGCAGTCTTTTCTTTTTGATGATACAAAGCAGTTTCTTTCCATCCCTCCTTATGAGTCAGGCCTCTTAAACCTTGAATACTCCTTGCTGCTATGCTCTTGCCTTTCTCCAAGCTGTCTTGACTCCTCTTAAAAGCAGTGTCCAGCCTGTTTCAGTGCTTGACAAGCCTTTCAGTGAAGAAATTTTTCTGAATATCCAATCTAATCCTCCTCTGGTGCAAACTGGGGTCATTTCCCCTCATCCTCTGACTTGTTACTAGGGAGAAGAGACCAATATCCACTTCACCCACCTCTTGATGCATAATGGGATAAGATTCACTTGAACACCAGCACCCTGCCCACCTGTGTGCCCACACAGCCCTTTCCTGCCAGCACTGCCATCCAGCTCTTCATCCCCTATTTGCATATACGCATCAGTTTTATGCTTTCTTGGTCCATTCCTTTGTGGTTGCCTTTATGGAAGTTCAACTTGATCATTTTGGTTCACATACCCAATTCACTGAGATCATGAGGAGCAAATGCTTGCTGAAAAACTGGACTAAAGCTATTACTGAAACACAAGGTGGCCTTCTTAGCAGGTGGATTGCAACTGGTTGCACGCCATATAGCTACCAAGACATTTTTTTCTCTTAGCATTTCTCTGCCACACAGTTGACTGCCATTTTTTCTGTGCTTGGGAACACTTTAATATATTGCTGTCATTCCTTGACAGCTCAAGAATAACAGATATTGACGTTTTATGATTGCTTTCCCAAGTCTTCAGATAATCCAAACTCACACACAGATTTAGTTTCCCCCTTTGTCTAAATCTTTTCATACTGTAGAAAATTTTTTTAGGATGTTCCCAAATGTACTGTCAGTCCAATGAATTTGAAATGAAGATTTGCATGTGACAAAGCATCACAAGCATTTAATTTTTTATTTGATGGAGATTTCCAAATCTGTGTTACTACTTTTACAGAAAAACCTGATGCTTCAGAAAAAGATGCTCTAATGTCTGAGCTGAAAATGATGACTCACATTGGAAGCCATGAAAATATTGTGAACCTACTAGGAGCTTGTACTGTATCAGGTAACTTGCATTGTGGAGAAGTACCAATTAAAACCTCCAGACTAATGAGAGCTCCTGAAGAGAAAAGAAGTATCAAAAGCTGATTGTTGAAAGCAGTATTAAAGACATCCACGTCATAATAAATCACCTAATCCTCTTTCTCTCTTCACCACTGAATCCCATCTTTGCCCAATAAATTTTGCTGTTCTATGCTGAACCAAAATAAGATCAAGATTAACTGAAAGTAAAGCTAAGGCCATGAATGTTTACAGAAAAAGGTCGTTTCTAATTGTACTTGCATGGAGTGATACAGCAGTCCTTCTATAGAAGAGGTTTTCTTGTTGCAGTGTGATGGCACTGTTGTGGGTCAGTTTATTAGGTGAAAATGAAATCCTTATTTGGTGTCAGGGACTTAATATCTACATTAATATATTTACTTAAGAAATTAGAAAATTTTTTTTAAATCATGTGGCTCACCAAACAGTGAAGTTGTAGAAATAAAGGGAAAAAATGAGTAAAAGGAAAGAAGAGAAACTGAAAAAGAGCAGGGGCAGGAGGGATACACAAAGAAAGATGATAGAAGTGAATAATGGAAACAGGGGCAACTTTTTAAAGGATGGAATGTAAAAAAAGCACTGAAGATTAAAACAAAAAAGCAAAGATGAAACTAGCAAGAGATTATCACTAATTAATGAATGTGTGACTCACATTATTATTGAGACAACAAACGCAGATATTCTTGCCCCAAGAACTGCTCATCTGTCCAGTTCAGAAGTGAACAGGAGTGGGTGAAGGGAGGCTAAAGAACAGATGACCTTGGGGAAAGAGCAGGGTTTTATACCCAGTGTTGGTCCATATCATGAACTGTAATACCTGTCACTGAAAAATCTGACAGATATTTATGAAGTCAGAAAGACCAAGGAGAACAGTTCACTCTTGTCTCCTTGGTTTACATCAGCAGCAATACTGTCATGCAAAGATGTGAGGGATAAGCAGAAAGAGAAATAGGTTTTTGGTGGTGGATTCAGCTAATGTGAAACTAAACACTGCCACTGTCTTCTGGAACATTTGGCAAGATGTGATGGTGTAGGCAGGAAAGCTGCAGGGAAGACCTGCTTAGTCTGGCAGTGTAGGGCAGGAACACTTCCAGCCTTACCCAAGTTCCATTTTCAGAAGCATTTCCATGGTTCTCAAAACTTTCCCATCCATCCTCTGCCTGACTTTACAGGTTTTTTCCAGTGTGCTGTACCATGCTTGACAGAGGCCTTCTGACAGAAATGTCCACAAATTTGTAGTTGGTCTGTCTGACCCAGAAGTGGTGATGCCAGTGTAAGGCTTTGCAATGTGATGTGTCACCAGTCTGAGCTCCTGCTGGCTCATAATAGATTTTCTCTGAGCCTGCCTGGGTCAGGAATTGGATGTATTTTTCATTTCTTGAGGAAGTGGCCTGACCAGTGCTCTATTCAGACACATCTCCTTGCAAGGTCTAGCCTTCCTGTAGCTCCTCTCATCAAGCACACTTGGGATTCAGTTGGCCTTCATGGAAAAAAATATAGTATTTCCAGAGCATGAAGGTAGTGCAGATACATGAAAGGGGGTAGGTCAATTCACACCATCCGGGTAATTAGCAGGGGTCATCTTTTACCTGAACCATGCAAGGTTTAGACAGTATGTTGCACTTTTGTAGCCCATGCTGTCCTCCCCATTTCCACTGGTACAAGGAAGGAGTTTTGTGCTTCTGTAGGAATTTTCAATTCATTTTGGGAGATGCACTACAGGGAAGAATCAGCTACACAGGCTTTCCAAAGGGACATTGCAGTCAGTAAATATTACCTGTCCATCAGTACAGCTTGTCTACCTGAGAAGGAAAGATGCTTGGGATGTTTAAATACAGATTAATTCTGAGAGAAGATGAGGCAGCATTAGGGCTTTAATGGGGAGGGTGCTATAAATAGTAGCAGGTGTTTACATTTCCAACTATTTCAGGACCAATCTACTTGATATTTGAATACTGTTGCTATGGTGACCTTCTGAACTACTTAAGGAGCAAGAGAGAAAAGTTTCACTGGACACTGACAGATATTTTTAAACAGCACAACTTTAGCTTTTACCACAACATCCATTTGGACCAAAATTCCAGGTAAAGCATTTAGCAACAGTTTAATACTTTTAAAAACTACTGACACTTTTTAATCGTCATTCTCATCTGCACTGTAAACTGGTGAAATTATTGAATTCTTGAGAATGTGCCTTCACATAGTTTAATAAGCAATGCCTTGGGAGGACTTCAGATTTGATTCTCCTTATAATGTTCTTCACACTGGACTGCAGAAGGCAAGCAATCTCTTATTTCTCTTTCCAGTTTTGAGAAGATTTTTGTCTGTGCCCAGATTTTTAATAGTAATAACGGATCATGTTTTTCACTGCAAAACAGTTTATATGTAGAAGATTATGTGATATGCTGTGTGTAACCTTTGAAAATGTGTCACCCGCTGCAGGATGGGGACTCACCTGAAGTACAGTGTGAATACAACTCTCTGCAGAGAGGATGAATTTGAAATCATGCAAAGAAATCAAAACATAAATGTGGCACCTGGAGCAAATGGGATTGTGGTGTTTTCTAAGGAAGGTAAGAGAGTAATTAAATTTGTCTTTAGGAATTCTGTTATTATTATATTTATTGTATTACTGATCTAACTAGACTAGATCTGTGACACAAAAGGCCTCTTTCTATCATATGTCTCTCTTCAGTCCTGACAGGAATTTTGCTGGAGAAGGATTCAACACTTAAGATCAGAGGCTTGTGTTTCTGGTCATGCTATACATAGTATTTGAGTATGAAAGTACTCTCCTTTATTTTGTGTCTGAGCAAAGGGTGCAAAAGATGAAAGTTCTTTGTGATGTTGCTCTTGACAGAAGCATGTGAAAATCCAACAACAGTAAGCAGAACTAATCAGACAGTGAGGAAGCCCATGGAAAACTCAAACTTTTGGTGATTTTTTGCAGATAAGAGTAAGAATGTAAGCACAGAGGTGGATGGAGAAGAGGATCTTAATGTGCTCACTTTTGAAGACCTTCTTTGCTTCTCTTATCAAGTTGCCAAAGGAATGGAATTTCTTGAGTCCAAATCGGTATGGTGAAGGGTAACAAATTGTTTAGAAAGAAAAGGTAGTAAAAATAGGTTGGTCTATAAAAGGCAGGTTGAAGAACAGAGCTACTCAGTGGCAATCTTGAACTATACCTCCTTCCCTGGCTTAACAGTAAAGACTGGATTGCGGTTTTAGGCACAACTCTGAGTAAGAAGCATTGGCACTGCACACTTATGCCTGCTCTGCCCTGTCTCCTTGCCACAAGCAACCAAGGAGTGTCCAGCTTGCCCATTCACCAAACTGTTTAAGTAGAAGGAGGTACCAACTCAGAGAGCAGGGAATTGTCTTCCTCTGTAGAGCATTAACCCTTCCTTTCCATCTAAGTGCATTCACAGAGACCTCGCTGCCCGGAATATACTAGTGACTCATGGAAAAGTGGTGAAAATATGTGACTTTGGCCTTGCCAGAGATGTAATGAATGATTCCAACTACATCGTCAGGGGCAGTGTAAGTTCATGAGTGCTCTCTGGTTTTCGTACCATTGTAAGAATCATAAGGAACTGAGAAAGTTTTTCATTTTTAAATTCCTTGATAGCTTTATAGATATCTGTATGGGCAGTTCAGAAATCTCACTTTTTCCTGCCCTTGGCAAATGCAAATTCTTAGCTCATAATTAAAGTAATCCAGTTGGTACTGTAAATGAGATAGTACCCATGTTTTTTCTAAAGCACACTGAAGTCCATTAATGGAAGCACTGAGAATTGTTTCCTGTTGCATATTGTGGGAGTACACCAGATCCTTTGACTATATGAATAAGTACAGTGAGGATAACTCCATCTGATCCACTCCCTCTGGAAATCAGTGGAAGAAGGCTCTTCCAGGACTGAGCTCACCTCTTCCTTAAATAGTCAATTAAAATGGATTAAATTAATTGACTCCTTAGAAGTGTCTATTTCTCTCTATAATGGGAATTTCAAGGGACTACTAATAGAGACACAGATTTTCACACAGCAAACCTGAATTGATCATACTCGAGCAGTGAGAACTACAGTGAGTCATCTAGAAAGCCTGTGTCACAGCATGACCTGGCCTCCCTTCTCTCTCTCTGTACAGGCTCGTTTACCAGTCAAATGGATGGCTCCTGAGAGCTTATTTGAGAGGACCTACACAATGAAGAGTGACGTCTGGTCATATGGAATATTGCTGTGGGAAATATTCTCTTTGGGTATGTTCTGTAATTGGACGAAAGAGCAGCGTTTGGTTTTGGCAGCTTCCAAATGAACATATATTCTCCAATATTTTCCACAGGTGTAAATCCCTACCCTGGTATTCAGGTTGATACAAATTTCTACAAATTGATACAAAGTGGATTTAAAATGGACCAACCATATTATGCTACAAAAGATGTGTAAGTGTATTTCCTGAGTTATGCACAGCATGGGAATTTATATTTACTAGGTCACTGTTTGAATGCCCTTTTATTTATTGCACACTATATCTTACTCAAAATAAGCTGCAAAATGTGAGGTCTTCCTCTAACTCTGAAAAAGGCTGCTTGATCCTGCAGGTTTTGTTCCAAAGAAGAAGTGATCAACACTAAAGATTATGTGTGCTTGAAAAGACTGATTTATTATGTTTATTTAATTGTGTCTTCCTTCCCCAGGGAACTTCTTGTTCTCAAACAACAGATTTTTAATTTTATTTTATTTTATTGGGCTTTACTGTGTTTGTTTCAGTTCCAGGAGGCTAGGGATCCTCTTAGATAAAAACCCTGCTAAGGAAGAGTTGGGGGAAGCTATTTCTGTTCTCTTAGCACGTGATTTTCAGCCTGTGTCTCTTGCCTGGGTGGTGGATCCCTGGGGACAAGAGAAGAGAAGGTGATGGGGAGCTATAAGGCCTGAAACTGGAAGAAAAGGAAGGACTTTGGGCTGTCCAAGCTCTTCTGGAAGGCATTCCATAGAATGATCTAGGGACTCAGTACCTTGCTATGACACTGTACTGTTCTTATCCTCTCTATGTAAAGACTGTAGTGGCATAAAAGATACAGGTGATTCTGACAGATTGACCCATGAAAGATTGCTGTGAGGCTTATAAATGTCAGGGAGCCTATTGTCCTAGCAACTTTGCAAAAGACTTTAGCAGATAGGAGCTGCCTGATGAAACTGCAAAATCTCTAAGGTAGTGTTTAAATTTCAGAAATATTTTTGTGATGTCGAATTACATAGAAAGACTTGCTGTGAAAAGTGTCCTTATGACTACATAATCCACAAGGAGCAGATTCAGCCCCAGAGACAGGCAGGAAAAAAAAAATTGTCTTCCTACCAACAACTAAAACAAGGTTAGCATGCCAGTATGTGCCAGTCAGGGCGAAAGCTTGGTCCAGATCCTATGAGGATGATTTTACTAAGGACTCTGGTAAAGCCATGTTCTTCATTTCACCCTTTATCCTTATCTTTCTGTCTTTTCCTCTGATATGACACACTAATTCTGACCTCTTTCTGTGGAATCATACTGGTATCCCATGACTTCCATCCAAGTCCTGCATTTCCATTTAGTCATTTAAAGTGAGTTCAAGAGCTGACATGTTTTCTATACCACCTCTTTGCTTCTGCAGCTATCTCATGATGCAGTCCTGTTGGGCTCTTGACTCCAGAAAAAGGCCTTCTTTTTCTTGCCTGGTTTCCTCTCTTGCCTGTCAGCTAGCTGAGGCAGAAGGAGCAGTAAGTAAACACAGAAAGATGAAAAATGTTTGGGTTTAGTTTGGGGTTTTTGGTTGGTTTGGGGATTTTTTCCTGTGTGGCTCCATAGATCATAATGAGCTGAGGAATGGTCTTCTGGTTTCTATTGAAGAACATCACTGTGTTATGGATATATTGCACATAAATCTATATAAGAGTTTGGGGGACTTTTTTCTGAC